AATATCCAGTTTCTTGCTCTACTTCAGATGTGGCGCGGCACAGCTGGTGATTGGAGCAGCACGATCTTCATTCTTCTTCTACTCTTCTCCGCTACACTGCAGCTCTTGTTTATCTCTTCTATCGTTATTCCACTGCTCACTGTTCTCTCTGTTAAGACCTCCTTTATTTCCTCTCTCCTCTTTCCTTTGTTTCCTCACCTCTTCTTCCCTCCCGTATCTCTTCTTCTGTCCCTACTCCTCTCTCTTCTTTTCCTCCTTACAGTACATTTGACTTTTGGGTTTCTCTATTGCTTTTCCTTTTTCTTTAACTTTATCCTCTTCTCTCTTCCTCTTTCCTACCTTTCCTTGTCTTTCTCTTTAAAGATTTCCCCTTCCTCCTCTCTCATTTTCTTTTCTATCCTTTGTCTACTCCTATCCCTCTTTCCTTTCATCATTTTCACCTTCCATTACTTTTCTTCCTGTGTCCTATTTCCCTCCTCATCATTCCTTTTTTATTTGCTCTCCTTTCCTCTTCTTCAATCTTCCCCTCACTCATTTATTTCCTTTACTTTTTTTCCACTGTCTTCTTTACCGTTCCTCCCTTCAATTTCTCCATCCTCTCCCTTATTTGTTACCCCCTTCCTTTCCTACTTTGCCTTCTCTTATCTCCTCTCCTGATCAGATCATCAAAATAAGTGACCCTAAACAAGTAAAACTAATGACTGGAAACTGTCTTTTACTGTTGTACTGACGTGGTACGATAGTTTTCCATGTATTACTGCAAATTAATTTGATTTCATAATCCATTTGTACAACATTAATTGCCTGCATCTCTTCATTGTGTCTGTAAAATTGTCAGAATCCAGGGCTGTTTATCCTCAGGAACCCAGAACCTCACATCAAATCTGACATTTAACTCTCATGCAAGAATCATGCCTGGCTTACACTTAGCTCTTCATTGTGTGCAGAACTGGGTCTCTCCCATCTCCCAGACATAACATCATCTTCCAAAATAGGAAAGGGGGGAAAAAAACAACAACAAAAAACCATCTGCTTTGTATGGATGGCATGGAGAAGAACAGCATCTGCTCTCTCAGGAATCACAGTGTCGCTCTCCAGGCCCGGCTTTAATCTGCCCCTTATTTTCCAATTCATCAATCTTTAGCCATCTAATTTAAAGTGTCCCGATCCCTTAATGAAACAGCCACCCAAACATGTCCAGCTGTAGGCTGAGGGTGTAGGGGTACAGCTGGACATGTTTGGACAGCGTATACCCCAATCATCACCACAGGGAGCTCATGTTATTAACCCAAAGCATACACAAGAAGAATCCATGATGCTAATTGGCTGCAGCTCTCATAGATATACCCCAGCAGAAGAAAACCCCCATGACGTTCCTATTACGACTTCATTAACATGTGCACCTGCATACTTCAATGTTGGTTTCTTATGTTGGTAATGAGCTTAACAACCTCTGGGGATGAATAAAAAAAAAAAAAAAGATGCAATGTTTCCGTGTTGTGGCGACGCCTGCAGCAGCACAGGGACTGACAATCAAAGCCATGATTGCAGAAAAGCATTCATTGTTACAAAAACACAAGGCAGGAAGACAATTGTGCATCTGGAAAATGACCGACACCTTAGCCTCGTATTTCAAGGATGGCATGGACTAAGGGACAAAACCAAAATCTTACAAACATGACCTGGAATTTTTCAGTATTTCTGACATTTCCGAGATTGTAAAATGTATCTTAGAACAAGACACTGTGATGAAACAGTGAACTGATTTGTCATGTATCAGGAAATTAAACAGGCAGAACAATTGTCCTCAGTTTCAGCTTCCTAGATGAGAAGATTTGCACAGTTTTTTTTCTCGGATTGTGAAGTAAATTTAATTTGATTTTCTACTGTTTGTTGGACAAAAGAAGTTCTCTGAAGGACCTGTTTCCACTTTTTTTACAAACCAAACCACTTTCAAAGAACAAAGACAGACACTGAGACAGTACCTGATAATGGAACAGATGTTTTCAGGCCAAAATGGTGATAGAATTTGTCAGGAAACTGCATAAACCATTGAACATGCATCTTAAAAACATGGCCCAAAACTGCCAAGAGCTCAGTCATTTATAACCAAGCATAATATTTGACTGATATCAATACTGCCTTTTAAACGCTTTAAAGACTGATGCAACAGTATGGTAATGTATCTGCATGTTTTAGGAAGAGACTTAACTCTTCAAACAAGATGTCATAGATAGAGATAGGATAAGCAGCTTAAAGTTACTAAATTGTCACATGCTACGGTTTGCAATCTCGCATGGCTGAAACAGGTTCACCTCTGATCCTCAAACAGCCTGAAAAGCAAGATTATGCATCTCCCTGCTCTGTAAATTGTGTCATCACTTAAGGTGGCAGTGAGCAGAATGAGAATGCACCTTAAGCCCCCTCCCCCCCCCTCTCTCTCTCTCTCTCTCTCTCCTGTAGTATGAGCTCCATCACCTGACTCATGTCTAATGGGCCGTGGAGAAACGGGCGAGAAGCGGTGGAGTGACGATGACACTGCATCTGGAGTGAGTAATGGCTCCGTGCTGGCTGCGACGCTGACAGTCAGGGGACGTGTCTCAAGCCGGGGCCTCGCTTGCCCGCAGCATTGGTGGTGCCAACACACACCTGCCATACCATGACGGGAAACGGCACTATGTGATGTATGAGGACATATAGACAAATACATATATTCAATAATAGCCACTATGAATGAAAAGACGCATTCACTGGAGGTATTTTGACTTGTAGTAGATCACAGGTGTTACTAATGCCATTAACGATGACTCAGCTCTATTCATGTTGCTTAATGGAATAACCCCATAATTACTCTGATTGATTACACCTGTGCTTTTCCTGCAGTGACGTGTTATAATCAGGGAATCACTTCTATTGTTGCACGGCTCTACTTGGAAATGTACACAATGGGTTAATCTTACTTTTAGTTTTTATTGGAAACATGTGGTTACCAGTTCAAATCTTATTTATTTAAAAAAAGAAATTGACTTTATTGGAGAGATAGGACAGTGGAAGGAGTCCGAAATCAGGGCGAGAGAGAGAGAGAGTGGGGAATGAAATGCGGGAAAGGTCGGATTCGAACCTGGGCCGCCCGCTTGGAGGACCACAGCCTCTGTACATCGGGCTCGCGCACTAACCACTGCGCCACCAGCGCCCCTGCAAGCTTGTTTTTATTCTCATGGTTTCCTCGGTCATTAGAACGAAAGAAGGTCAGAACTGCAGAGAGCCTCAATCAAAAGGTCAAAGGTTTGTTTTTCTGGATTGACAACAACAAAAAAGGGAGACATTGACGCATCCACGCTTGTTCTTGTGAACGAGAACACAGTGTGAAATGCTGACTGGAACGTTCTGAATGTGGGTTACCAGTCTGATACCAGCGTTGGAGCACAACTCCACGTTTGCACCGACACAGCAGAACTACAAATCCTGCATAATTCTTCAACATTATCTAGAAATGAGGACAGGAGGACTTCACGATATAGGTTAAGAGAATTATTTGCACAAAGTGCTGGGACACTCCTTCAACACATCCTAATGAATAAAATAGTGTTCAAGCAAAATACAGAAGACGTTACAGCATACATTAACACATGCCTCTGCATAATAACACACTTTCCCTTCTATGATCATGCAGGGGGTTCTTACCATGACTATGATTCTTCCTCTTCTGTCAAACCTATTGGTCACATGCTGTTTACTGAAATCAATATAACCAAGCATCTGTTACATGTCACCTATCAAACCAGTGAGTCGTGAGCACATTAACACCTGTACAGTTTCTATATTTCCACACACAAACAAACACAAAGACAGCCCTTATTCCACTCCAGCATTATGTCATATTTATGTGATGTATCTATTTCACTTTTTAAATGGAATGTATTTTTTTTTTTACGATAGCCTATATTCCTTTACAGGGACCACACTTTACCTCTATTGCTAACTCTGGCCCAAACAGCTGTGTTGTGTTGAAATAAACTCAACCAAACTATCAAACTCCATGCTGCTCTGTTTACTCTAATTTACATACATGTCAGCATGCATGCTTTTTTTTTTTTTTTATTCATTTCTTATTTCCGTTATAAATGTATCATTACAAAGCAATTCATAGGAGTCCAGATGAATTCGTTTATTTGAATTTGTTTTGAGTTAAGTAAGCATGTAAAGCACACATTTTGAAAGAAGCCACTCCTTTCAAATCAGGAAAAACAAAGATCTCTTTCCCTCATGTGGAAAAACAAAGACTCGTGTGCAGGACAGCATCATGAAGGGGGGGAAACGCCAAAATCCTTCATGGAACCCTTTCATTTATTTCATGGAAGAATCAATGAATTTTTTTTTGAAGACCAACCCCCCGTCACCTCACTCATCAGTAGACACCTGCACACATATCTTTACATCCTAAAACAGGGCCTTGGGTTTTGCTGCCTTGAGGTAAGCAGACCTGTCTTGACAGCTTCAGGAGCTGAGCTACATCTGGCAGCATCTCTTGCAGACATCAGATAATCCGCTCTGCGCTGCGGGGCCTGCTGTCCGCACCGGCCGGCAGCAACAATACGCACAAACCGACGCTTCATTCAACACAACAGCCGATCAGCACATTTGTCTCCCTCCCTCATGTTGCTTCGATGGTTGCAGCAATAGATGCAGCGCGTGCAGACAGTGCAGTGGGTGCAATGGTCTGCCTTTGATGCTCTGCAGAATCCGGATTTAAAAAAAAAAAAAACACGACAATCAGCGTCAGGCGCCTCCATATTTGCTGGATTACTTGCACCTGGTCGCCCTATTCAAGCAACATCACCGGGATGCTGTGGCGGATAAAAAAAAAAAAATAGACCGACCTTACACATCCACTGCACCATTATTGTGATTGTGATACTGAAAGCAACGACAAGAAAACACAAAGCAATCACCATCATCATAATCAAACAAATATAGAAAAGCAGGCTCTAAAAACTCACTGTTTGCTGCAAACCGGCTCCCGATTCCTCCCCCGCCACTCAGTGTGTGCTGATGCTGTAGAAAAGGATGAGGTATGTGTGTGTATGTGTGTGTGTGTGTGTGTGAGAGAGAGAAGGGGACTGTGCCCGGCCAGTGCGTCCGTCCCTCACTCAGCCGCTGCAGCAGCAAGCTGTGGTCCACACGGATCCTCCGCTCTCCTCACCAGCTCCCCCGCCGCTGTCAAAACCAGCAGCGACGAAGATCGTCTATGCACGTGAGAGCATGACACACTCGTCGACGAAAAACCAGGCCGGCCTTTTTTAGAGCGAAACTTCACATGGGCATTTCCTTACTATTCATTACACGTGCTGGCCTATTTAGAGGGCTCTTTAGTCTCACAATATTATGAATCTATAGTAATGTTACAGTTCAGAAACATTACATAGGCTACTAGTAGTCTATGTGAAAACAGATAGCTTATATCAATAAGGCCTATTCTTTAAATGTTGAGTCTTGCTCTATGTTAACACAATGCAGGGATGTTCAATACACAACCTTTCTATATACTTACAAATGTATTAAGTAACTAAATAAATAAATAAAAAACTTACTGTACATTTATAAGCAAATAGCAATCCTCCAAAAAATAGCTATTGGTCCAAAATACGTTACTGCCTCGGTAAACAGTTGGCTGTTTTTTTGTTTTTTTCAAATAGAGAGGATTGTCGGTCATTCACTGAATAATGTATTATTGTCCAAGAAACATTTGAGAAAAATGAGAGGACTCAAATATCCAAGCGATTATATTTCTGGTACATGAAGAAAACATCAGAGTGAGAGCTCTACATGTTCCTACTATCTGTCGATTGTCGCCAATCTGGTGCAGAAAAAGAAAGAAAGAAAAGAGAAAATAGCAACAGCAGCGACCCCGTTTTAATGAGTGGCAGCAGAGGGACCTGCAGACAGGGACACAACCCTTCAGAATAGTATTATAATGCTGCTTGTTTACAACACTTTTACCTGTAGTCCTGTTTTCGATGTATATTTATTTCACGTATTGCATGAGTATAATAAGAATATGATTTCCATATCTTCCAGGTTCATTTTACTTCTTATATTTAGAATTGCATTGCACGATTCTAAATTGTTTTGAATAAACTAATTTAACATTGACTCCTCTATCTTTATGAACTGTTATCTACATTGGAGTATCTGGCTCAAATGTAGAAGCATCATGCAGAGCACAAAACAACAAAAGTGTGTCAGGCTGCTTTTTCAAATGAAGACCTTGGTGTCTTTAAGTTGTTCAGGACGCAGACTGGCAACCGCAGTGTTCAGATCAAACTAGAACAAAGTCTGGGTGGTTTTTTTTTGCTGAATGTGAGGTGATATGTAGGCAACACCTTTTAATTGAAGAATGAAGATCGGAACAATCCAACATGGGGTCTTCATCATCATCACCATTGAAAGAAATCGGCTTGTGGAAGACATTTTCCTTTCTGCCAGAAAAAAAATATTTTATGTTGACAAACATATTCTGAAACAAAATTGACGAAACAGAAAAGATGATGTCTGCTCCTATGTTTTATTTATTTTTCCTGATTGCAATGTTAAGATCAAAAGCTCATAGACTGCTTACCTGAATTGTAGATGTTACATTTGGTAATGTTATGAGCAGGATGTCACAATCTCGTTTGACGCTAAATACAAATTTCAGTTGTGTAGTATAGTAAATGACTCCAATTGTCCCAAGTACTAAGTATTACGCTTTTACAAAAAAAAAATGAACATGTTTTCAGATTAGCACCTTGTTTTAAGCACTTAGCTTAAGTTTTGAATGTGCAACTTTTACTTATATGCACAGTGGGATGGCTGAAAAACCCCTAAAATACATCAGGGTTCTACATTTTCCACAGCAACAGGAGACACGGGTGTTGCTCTGGCATCACTCGAGAACAGGTGGTCCATGCATACAGACGTGGCTTGGTGTCAAACGACTCACCGCACTTCACATTATCATTACAGGCCGTCCAACCTGCGCCTCCTATTTGAAACTGTGGAAGTCACATAACAGCAGTGTGGGAACATCACTCCCCCATTGAACACCGCTTCATTCCAATGTGGGGGACCTCGTCATAAACACAGCAACTATCAAGACCAAGTCCAAACTGTTTCTCCCTCCCTCTCCTTGTTTAAAAGTGAGCGGTGATGAATCTTTGCACCCTGAGTATCACAGTAAAGAATGTAAACAGTAGGTTGGCCTTGTACAGGGCAGACAAGTCTCTGGTGTCATGCTCTAGAAGAAGCTAAAATGCTTCAATAATGTTAAGCTGTATGTTCTGGTTTTAAAGTCACAACAAAGTAGCTTTAATCATTATCATTCTACCCTCAAGGAAAAAGAAACTGATAAGAAATTTTATTGTGTAAATCTGGAGGGACGTCCAGCCATATATGACAAGATAACAACATGTTTGGTTAGCTGTAAGCTATTTTTAGAGAGCAGCTAACGCTAGCATTCCTTCACTTCACAGCTTACATTTTCTAAACTAGGAGGTCGTCCAAGCTTACGAACAATTCTGGCTCACATTAGCCACAAATCTGCTCCTTCTCTTTGGTATTGTTTAAGTGAAATAAGATTCTAATTTATTCTACACACACTTAATAAACATTAGCACCACTGTGTCTCCCGCCTGAGCATGAGGGCTGCTGTGTGATTATGGTCAACGGCTTATTCATGCCCTGCTCACCTTAAGGCATGTTATAGTCATTAGTAAAATATAGTTGGGGGGAGGGGGGGGGTGTATACATGTACAGTTTTGTCACATGATAAATGCATGTAACACTCATTAAAGGCCAAGGGGCAATCACAAGTGAGTCATGTCGTGTCTGGTGGTGGCGACAAAAACAAGGCGCAGTTTAAGCAGTTTGGCTCTTCTCACACAAACATGATCTAACATGAGATAGAAATGTGTCCCGTCCGTGCATGTGTGTGCAGTGCAGAGTTAAGTCATGCTTCGGCTTATTGCTTTTAAATGCATCATTACTGCCCATGGGTGTGACTTAGAAAAACAATAAGATGATCTCTTCTCTGTTGACCTTAGAGACTGGGTTCACACACACCGTGCAGACGTTAAAGTGGTGGGCACAGACAGTGTTGTTTGACATTCATGCAGAGCTGTTGGACAAATAGGATGTGTGTGTTTGTGTGTGTGTGTGAGTGACTGCTTGTGTTTTTGTGTGCGCAGGTGTGTCGCCACGCTAACCGACTGGCAGGGATCTGCGGAGAACCACAGCACTGTGTAAACGGTTTCTCTTGGAGGAGACATGACGATGGGCAGATGTGGGTTTTTTGTTTTTTATAGACATACCGCTGCAGATTGTGAAATACTCCCAGGAGCTTTAAAACACAATTGTTTATATTTCTGCTGAATAACAGCTCATTTTATTCACCTGAAATTATTTTTGCATGTTAAGTGTCATTGTACAACTTAGGATCTACTTCAAAGCTACTCATTGTGTACTTTAAAACAGGTTTACACAGGCCAGGATATACTATAGCAGGACAATGTCCCTTTGATAGCTAACAGGTACTGTTATTGTTTACGTAGCAGCTTGATTTAAAAAAGCTATGTCAATGATGTGAAACAGCTGGGGTTTTCCCTCACACTGTTAGGGCCTTCCATTTGTCACCCATAGTGACATGACCCATCTTACAGGAGATATACAGAAGTAGTTTCATAACAATTCCCCCTTAGTGCTTCTGCTGATATTTTTTAGAGATGCACGATCCATTTTTTTTTTTCTAGTTTGCGATCCGAATCCGATATACGCGTACCGATATGGATTCTGATATTTCTATGATCATAACTAACGATGTTGTTGTCGTTGGTATTATGTGTGAGGCTACACAAAGCTGTAGTAAACCCGACATTGCACTGTGCGGGCTTCACATACAAACGGGAAGCAGCAACAACTGTCAGGTTTTCAAATTAAATCTTTTAAACTGAAGTTTGAGAGTGGTAGAGTGGTCTACTTTTGATTGCAGTTCAATCTGAACATCTTCAAAGCGGACCGCCCAACCATCTTTCTTGATCAGTTAAGTGGATCGGCGCTGTCGATATCCGATACATATAAATCATGTCAATATCGCACCCGATAGTGATATTAGATCGGATAATTTCCATGTCTAATATTTATTCCTCTGCAGTGACATATTGGATACACCCCTCATTTCTATTCCTGTTTAGGCTTCACACACACACACACACTCCAAACAGTCCTCAGGGATGTTGTTTGTGTTATTTGCATCACTGAAGCCTCTGTAGATTCATAGATTACGATCACATGCTCAACTGCCTTTTCTGAACTTGCAATTACAGCCCTATTGGGTGAGGTTTGCGGTGTTGCGGTGTGTTCAAAAACAAAGCAGAGCTGGGGCCAAACAGTTTGACACAACTTGTACCAACTTCTCCAAACATGCCGCACTGTTGTTTGCAAAAGGAGACGAAACAAACTAAGGAGGCGCTGAACTGATCAACAGCATGTGCCAATTAATGACACGTTCGAAACAAAAAGTAAACTTAAAGGGTCAAATAATGCACGCTCCTTTTTGTTTTTTTATTCACCTACCTGCAGCAGCAAAATCAGAAAAGAGGTCAATTGTATAACACATTCAAGCTAGATCAGGGACAATTTTAGGCAGACGTGGGCACACATACATTGAGATGATTGTAAACGAGGAGGGAACTATACCAGTTGCTAGGGAACACCATAAGACCAGACGATCCAATTCTGCAAGAGGAGGAGGAGGAAGAGGAGGAAGACAAGCTCCTGCCACAGCAAGCCAGTCATAGTGCAGTGGTATGAGCTATATATAAATTTCACACTTCTCCATGTAAACACAGCCGGGTAGACTTCACTTTACCTTGGCACTTTGGCCTTCCATGCGAAAAGGAAATTGGCAAAAGGATGATCATCGCCAGAGAGCATTAATCTCATGTTCACCTCATTTGTCTGCCTCCACTGTGCCTGTCGGAGACGCTCAGTCTGCTGCACACGGCCCAACACGAGCTTTAAATAATATTAATGCTGCTGGGTTTGACAAGAGGAATTTTTTTTTTACAGCAACAAATAAGCCTCTGTTTTCAAAGTTTTGTTTCAGATCAGGAGAGGTGTGTGAGGTAATGCTGCAGTATAAATCCAGATGGATTTCTCTGAAAG